CAATTTACCCTTGTTCACTCAAATGCTGATTCTCTACCCCACTATCTGCTTTCAATCCAGACATTGCATTGTGATGCTTATTCTAGGCATCACCTGTCTCCAGTTTGTGTAAACATGCCACCACTTGTTCTCTGTGTTGCCAATAAAAGCAACCAGCCAATGCTGAGCAATCGAGAGAATAGGCTGGGACATCCCAGTCTACAGGGAAGGAGAAAGAAGCCAGTGGGAAGAATGAGCTGGGAGGAGAGATCAGGGAGGATTGGACCTGGAAACAGCAGGAGAGATGAACCAGACCTAAGACTTGACTAAAAGGCAAGTATAATGTGGGAAATCTGAATGGAAGGAAGCTATGTGGGCTTGGAGGTTTAGGCTGGAGTAATTATTGCTCAGCATTGTGCTCTAGGTTAGTTAAATAAATCTTAGTCTCTGTGTGGTAATTTGGGTATACATTTGGTTTAAGAATAACCACTGTTTAACTAAAAGATAAATCAATATTTAATATTAATAATTAGCCACACACAATCATTATCATTTTGTAGTCTTTTACTATTGACTCAATCTTTTCCCTTATTTTATACCACCACAAAGAACTGGGCCCTCCCACATCAATCATTAATGAGAAATGTCACCACAGCTTTATTTAGATGATGTATCTAGTCTGGAGCCAGATGTCCCATTGTCTTAGTTTTCTTTATATTGCTGTGCTAAAACATGACCAAAAACAACTTGAAGAATAAAAGGTTTAGTTGACAAGTCCCAGTCACAGTCTATCACTGAGGGAAATCAGGGCAGAAACTCAAGGTAGGAACCTAGAGTTGGGGACTGAAGCAGAGGCCATGAAGAAATACTGTTTACTGACGTGCCTATCATGACTTGTTCAGCATGCTTTTATACATGGCCTAGGATAACCTGACCAGGGAGTGACACCTCCCACAGTGGGCTAGGAGATCCCCCTTCTATCATCAATCAGAAAATGCCCTCCACAGACTTGACTGCAGGCAGTCTGATAGGAGCAGAGGTCTCAGATGACTACCTTGTGTCATGTTGACAGAAAGAAAGAAAGAAAGAAAGAAAGAAAGAAAGAAAGAAAGAAAGA